TCATTCGAAGGTGGCTTCACTGGCTTGTCGATTCGATCGATTCACACACATTATGGACACATATTACAACTTTCTGTTTGCCATCTTGGTGTCGTGGTGTCAGAATTGTGTTTTCTTTCATGGCCCTTCGCCACCAGGCGAAGAGCAGCAGCTGGCGAAAGAGCTTCAGGATGCCATGAAAGGCGGAGCTAAGGTGGGCGAAAGAGCTGGAGGACTCGGATGATTTGGGATCTCTGATGCGGATGCCGAAGCGGCAGCGAGAAACAACACGACTCTTAGATTGATTCTTTTCTGTTCATCTAATACATGCTAGGGTATTGGTATACTATGGAAAGTGGATGACTGACGTGTTTAAGCATCCTTCAGCACATGGGATTCTGCATGATTCTGCTGGGATTCAGCCGGCTGATTTTGGCAAGGATCCCTGGTCCACATGGGGACTCAAAAATGAAATGCACTGCAATATTTATGTCTTAAAACAGTCCCACTTTTGACATGCTCTTCGACCAATTTCACGGTGAACGTCAGACGGGAACCTGCACTGCGTCCAGGCCTGGGATGCGAACTTCGAGAAGGTCTACGACTTGGCGTGGCAGGTCGTCCAGCGGAACGTGGCCACCGTGTGCCCAGGCCGTCGTGCCACGGTTGTGACGAGACACGCTCGCTGCCACGTGAGAAGAAGGGGCGTCCCATGGGCAAAAACATCTCAATTTCAAGACACCAAATGGGCTCAGACTGTCATTGACTTACAAGAGGTGGATTGGATGAAGCTATACACTATGCATGTAGAAGCCATGCCAATCACCGGCAAACAAATGGGTTAGGTGTCAGATGCCCCCCCCAAAAAAAACATCACAGCTTCTGGGCGAGATTTGTGGAGGGCCAGATTGGACAGATTTCCATCACTTTGTGCCATCATCGTTGTTCACATCAGTGCCATCACTGTGGTTCAAGCCGGACATGAAGTGACTATGGTAAACTGATGCCCTCGCTCTTGGTCACAAAGGAAGGGGACGTCCGTGCAGATGAGCGCGTAAGACTTTGATAGGCGGTGGAAGGCCACTGGATTCCAGGCCAAGACTGAGCTTTAAAGCACAAGCTGCTGTCCAAAGTTGTATGGCTATGTGGCATGTTGCCACTGAACTGTGCCAGGCACTTCTTTGCGCTTGCCTTGCGGCCTATCAAAGCTTTGAAGTGCCGTGACTGAATCCACACATGACGAAACTGTCATTGCCAAGAAATCAATGACAGATCCTCTTCGTACCACTTTTGCAGCATGTAGCAGAGCCCATGTTTTACGCAATGTGTTGCTTGTTATATTCATTCAGTCCTTTTCAACTAAGGTCGTCCGCGGCTGTCTGAAGAAGTAGCCTTCTCAACGAAAGCTCCCCATGAAGCCTGTTTTGGCCTATTTTGCCTTCGGATGGGTTTTAAGCTTGGTCACATTTGAACAGATCCAAGTCACCAGATGATGTGCTCGATTCGCGGCCACTGTCCAACCTTCTGCTCTTGGAATGTAGGAGCTGCTAGAATAAGACCATTGGATTTCTCACGGTGCTGTTCTGTTTGTTCGGTTGGACTCGGTCTTAGAGGAGCAATGCTGCATCAGCTTTCACTTCCGGCTGGGTTTGCTAGCTCGAAGTGCCGCTCACCAGACGAGTGAAATAAGTTGGTGCGGCTCGCCGTCACAAACATTTGCTAGAGTGACCCTCAAAGGCCAGTTCGTTGATGTTGGATATTGTTTTGTGTACTGTATGCTGCATTGTTTGGAATATCTGCACTCCTACACGTCTCTACACTCGGCAATGTAAAACATTGTAGCACGCTTCAATGTCAGGTCTGAGGCCATACCTAAGCGTGTTTGGGGCCATGTCTTCTGTGCCTACCGAACAATTGATCCTTGATTCGTGAAGCAATCCTGTCAACCTTTGCTAGCTGCTGAACATTTAATATTCAAGATTGTTCAAGGCGACGTGACAGAAAGCTGCCTTCCGCTGCAGGCAGTGATGACTCGTGTGAAGGACCCGAACCTCATTTGTTCGGGGCTTGATTTGGCGGTGGATTTGGGAGTCCAAGTCTGTGCGAAAGACCTCTTGTCATGTTTTTCCTTGAGCCAGTTCTGACAGTCACTAAACGTCAACATCAGCGGCAAGATAACTGCTGTCTCCCTTAGTAGCCCTAGTATGCCTTAGTAGATATGTTGCGACTTGAGCTTATGATGAACGACACTAGCTGCAGCAACAAACCCCAGCAGCAAGAGAATTTTGACCATGAGAAGGCCACGTATCACATCATCTATCGTCTGTGTGTCTAAGGTTTGTGATTCTTTCACGTGAAATCCCAATGTCCCAGTGTGTTTTAAGGCTTCAACTCGCTGCTCAACGCATTTGCCAGGGCTTCCAAGCATAGAAAGGCGCCACAGGGTGGTGGCCTCCAGGTGAGTCGAGTGAATGCCGAGGTGAGTCACTCTGCAGCGGATCATGTCACGACCCTTCTTTTTTGGCCTTTTGGTGTTGAGAACTTTGGCCACTTGGGCCGAGGTCGCAATTGTAAACCGCAACTCGTGTATTCTTAGGTCCCTTCTTCCTGTATGACAGGGGTTAAGGGGCACCAACAGACCGTGTCAATTGCAGCCGAATCCTCTTTTTGATCATCGTGACTGTCATGACTTAGTATTACAGCTGCGTAGTGAAAGGTTTTGGAAGAGCAATGCAATCAGGACCTGCTAGTCCAATGTCTCAACCGGCCGGCAATGAGACAGGCCGAGCTTTGCTTGCAGCAAATCCGGGCGGCAGAACTGTTGCCTGCCTTGACCCCAGGTAGTTGGCACTCGTGCGCTATTTGCAAGACAACTGCTCCGAAGCATGTTCCCCCTTGCATGAACGTCTCGCATCCTGATTTATATATACTTAACATACTTTGCATTGCTGCTTACTGGATGGAACCTTTGCAGATTTCGTTGCCGGATGCACTGCAGTTAAAGAGGGAGCATGAGGGTACAGGACACATCAAGAGACAATCCCTGCAGAAGTGATTGGCATGTGGGGGACTGCCTTGTGATTCGCACACTTCGTCCCAATGACACCTGTTGGGCTACGCAGGACGCGATCAGCTTCAACACCGCTATCAGCGTTTGCACCTAAGGTGGTAGCTGTTTCGTGTGGATCGGAGGACCAGACCCATGTCTGGGCAGCGTGTGAGCGAGCAGAGTCATACTGCGCCTGCTGAGGCGCAGGGCTGGGGTGGCGATATGAGGACTGAGATTTTATCAGCTTGTCCTGGGGTGTTTAGGAAGGATGCTAGTTCAAATAGACAGCTGACTGAGTTCTTCGTTGGTCTTTCAGTTGGGTGTATGGAGGAGGCATCTCGGGGAATGGTTTGCATATGTAGTGTCTTTGGTCAATTGATACCTACCGTGGATCAGCACTAGCATTGTGCTCAGATCGAGACAGTTCGGAATGAGCGAGAGGAACGCAGCGGCTGGATTTGTTTTGTGTCACGCGGTTTTATATAGAGCAATTGCTGCAGGTTGTGATTATTGCTCATCATCTTCTTTTGTTGTCAGAATGCAGTTGCTAGATGTTGGAAGGTCCAACTTGACGCGAGACACTGCATGATAGTCTCATGTGAGTCCCTCAGTCCCGCAGGGGAAGCCAAAGCAGTCCATAGCAACAGCAACACACTCAGCGAACCCCTCGCGCTTCACTACATGAGCAGCGAAGCTTCGCCTGTGGATGCCCCATCAGAGCCGGCTCTTTGGGTTCAGTATGGCTCCTTACTGCAGCATGTGCCCATTTCAAACCATTTGGACATTGGCCGCTGGCGCTCAGCGGTGAAGGAGGCCTTCTCCCAAAACGCTGCCCTGCAAAGTGTGAGTGCCAAACGCTTGGAGCTCCGAACGCTCGATGCCAAGACGCTGAGTTGTGGACAAAAGTTGGCCAAGATTCAGGCGCAAGGTCATGGCCTTGAGCCACAGAAGGCTCTGCAACTGACTGTGACAGAGAAGAAGGAAACAGCTCATGATAATCCCTTTGAAATGGAGGACGTGTTGGAGCTATTTGGTTGAGCGACCGATGTGAACACGTTGGGCATTCTGTGTGCATGCCAGCAGCTACTATATATCGACATTCACTTTTACAGGCTAGAGTCAGAGTTGGCCATAGAGTATACATGAGTATGCTGTATATATATATATTGTAAAGTTATATATTATATCTATTTTATATTATACAGTATGTGATGTGTGTGTGTATATTTTGGTTCATCGCCCGCCACAGGTGCGCTTTTCCTTCGGTGTTCCCGGCAGCACGTTCCGTCTCGGCAGGACACCCGCCGTGCAGAAGAGCTGGCAGCAGAACTGGTGGCCCGTGGAGCTCTGAAGGCAGTGGCCGTGCGAGAAGCTGGTGGTGTTCGCCATGCGGGGTACTGGTGCCAGCATTGCTCGGCCCATTGTTCCTCTGCCATCGCCTGGAAGCAGCACATGAGTAGCCAGGTTCACCGAAAGGGGGAAAGATTGAATCCCTGGCAGCGCACCATGTGCCTGGCAGAGTTTCCAATGCGTCAAGGTGGAACGTTGGAGGTGAACACGAAATACCACGATCTGGCACAAGAGCAGCAGCGGCTCCCTGGTGGGAACTGAGATCGTTTTGACACAGAGCAGATCAGAGTAGCACAACATGACGATTTCTGTATTAATATCAACCCACAGAACTCTCACTCTTGGCTGATGTTTTGTAACATTATTCTCTCGGGCGGGTGAGACACTGGAGGGGTGACCATACCGTGTCAACGAGGCTCTTAAAGCAATATTTGGAACATTCCTTCAACAACGAGCTGGATTTGTTGAAGTCCTTCGACTGCCTTTTTGAGAAGCATGCTGGACATCTTCGCGTGAAAGAGATCTTCGAAACAGTTGAAGTGTGGAAGAAAGTGGTGTCCCACTTGCAGAGATGCAATGAGACACGGAAGTCTCAGAATTTGGAGGCTGTCTCACGCATCTATGATATTGCAAGTGGGCATGGCCTTTTGGCGGTGCTTTTGGCATATCGATTTCCACAGGTTCAGGTGGTGGCAGTGGACCGTGAGAAACGCATGGGGTTTGATCATTACGTTGAGGTGGTGAACGAGTTTGGAGAAGCAGAACCTGGAACAGAGAGCTGCTTGGCAAATTTGTCTTTTGTGGTCGCAGACTTCCAGGAGTGGCTAAGATGATGATGAACTTGTGGGGCAACAACCTGTTCAACCCCCGTTGACCTAATGCAGAAGGCTCCTAGGCAAAGACAGAGGTTTGGTTGTCCCCCTGAGGACGTTCACACAGCAGAGAATGCTGCCTTTGTTTGCGTGCATGGCTGCAATGAGCTCAACTTGGACGTACTGAAGAGAGCTCTCCAGAAGCGTGCCTAGTCAGCTGTGCTCATTCAATTTTGACTTGTAACTTCTAGTCTTAACCCCCCACCCAGTAGTTCATTGAGACTTGCTTGAACACCAAGATGGGCCCCCACAAGGTGCTGTGTGGCTAGTGGTTCCCTGCTGTATTCGTGAGGGCCTCTCCAATATCTCGGTGCGATGCGCCGCAACGCGCGAAGAAGGCGATGACACGCGGCACGCGCTCATGTGTGGCATGATCGCTGCACAGTACCAGGCAAGCGCCATCGCTTCCATCGACCGGCGCATAACCAACCGGCATCTCGTGATCGAAGGAGATGCCGCGTTTGTAGTCAGTCCCGATCATTCACCGCAGAATGAGCATGTGCCCTCCGCAAAAAAGAGGAGTCGGTGGCGTGCGGAGATATATAGAGTTCATTTGATCATAATTGACCCACCAGTGCATGCGTGGCAAGCAGTTTTGGACGGCCCTGGACTACTAGTCTCATGTATTGCCTGAGACTTCACCATATTTCACTGAGCCATTGCGGGAATCCATTCAACAGTGGCTGTCCCTACGAAAGGGTTTCTCAGAACAACAACCTTTAATCAAGCAATCCAGTTGGTTCTGCTCAAGATGGACAGGCAGCTAACTCGCTGCTCAAGTACAGTATTGGGGAATCCCGCAGGATTGATGCATTAAGCCAACACAAATGACAGCCTCGAGTGAGCCTCGTAGAACTTGAGAACGTGATTATGACGCTCATTTGCAGTAGCTTTTTGGGCACCACTTTAGGTGCTGGCGACAAGCTTCTGAAGCACGCACACATATAGGTATATATGTTGTATAAGATCATGTCATATTATCCCTCAGTGGGTTTTACAAGCTTGTCCTCAACTAACTATGCGCACATGCTGTGGCAATTGCAACGTGTATAATCAATATTAATCAATTCATCCATTGACAGCCTAATTGTCCCATACCATATTTCTTTGTCTCCTTCATTTCTTTGCCAGGACGGCGCGTAAGCTCTTCGAGGCCCGCTCTTTGGGGGGATGCCAGGTGATGCTTTAGGGGCTTCAAAGCGGGGAATCAGAGAGGAACCTTTTTTGTGGGTGGGCCAGGGGGCAGGAAAAGTGATCGGTTGTGAATTGGTCGAAAAAGACGCAGGTTTTGTGTGTGTGTGTGTGCGTTTTCAACATGTCAGCTCGTGCTTCGGCGAGTCACAATTGTGGTCAGAACCTGGAGCCCCAACACTGTAGCTTGACCTCCCAGGTAGGTCAACCAAGGCATCCTGTTTTTGACCCACAGCAACATGACACACAGCAACATGACACGTGCTCCTGATCCTCCTTTCCTTGGTCAAGCTGATGGTCGTCATGGCTCACCCGAGGACATGCTGCGAAGCAGAGTCCAAGCCAGCGTGGGAAGTCCTGGCGCAGGTTGAAGCTGAAGTGAAGAGGCTTAAGTTAATGAGCATCAGCCATCGAAGAGCCTCGGTAGACATTGAACGATGGGATGACACGTGAAAATAGGAGCAACCCACTCATGGCAGCACTCAAGTCTTTTGGCTTGAGGCGCGGACCTTTGTCGCCATGGGGTCCTGTAGTGAAAGAGGTGGAGATTGGACAAGCACCTTGGTTCGCCCCCGCTTTGCTGCGAAGAATCTCGATTCTGGGTCGTGCGCATGATTGGGAGACATAGTTGGTGAAATCGTGGCCAAGTGTCACCGTGGAGTGCTCAAGGATACACAAAGTACATACAAAGACTCACAAGGTAAATGTAATTAAGCAAACGTTTGCCGAGGCACTTCCAGGAGGCCTTCTTAGCCATGATCTCCAATTGAACGGGACTGCTGCTAGACTGCCACTGTTTGCAAACTTGCCGTTGGCCCAAAAGCAGTGTTTCAAAGTTTAGCAGAAAAGCCGTTAATTTCTTTTGGATTATGAAGGGAAGAGGATGCTCGAGAACAAATTAGCTGATGCCGAGCAAGCCGAATGCCGTCTCATGAACGTAGGGCAGTGCTCGGAGCATATAGTGGAGACCTGAAGCTCATGACTCATGGCATTCTTTTGGACCATGGCTGACCTGTTGTTGAGGATGACAGACACTCCAACCCACCATCCGAGACACTCCAGCTGCCACATGTTCAGACCAAACCACCTACATCGTGGGCCGATGTGATGTCAACATGCCATTTGATGCAAAGCTCCTGCCAGAGCACTTGCGGCTCCAGTTGCTGAAGGAGGTTCGGAAGACAAGGTTTTGCTTGTCTCAGGCAGTTGGCCACCTCAACTTCTTTGTCTACAGTTTTGGGCAAGTTCCATGCAAGCATGAGCTTGTAAAAAGTGTTAGGCCTCAAAGGAACCTTGCAACTAATGTGTAATATTGACCCTTCATGAATCTTCCGGGCATTTGTTCTGGTGCATGGAAAACCAGACTTTTGGGGGCCGATGAAAGACCCAAGCACTTTGGCCTTAGAGGTTTCACGCTCCGAAAGAGCCCGCCCAGGAGATCAATGGCGTATAAGGGTGTTGTTCAATCGAGGAGGCTTCTAATCCTCTACATGTGGCAAGTTTTACTCGAAGTTCTGGTCTGAGTGCCCGCAGGGCTGACCGTTCCAATGTACCCGAGCTCAAGCTCCCTTTTGTACTCTAAGCAGTCGCAGGCCCTGCGGCTAGATCCAGAGCTGAAGGAGGAAGACCTGTGCCTTTGCCAGCGATCTGCGATGAGGCGGCCATTCCAAATAGCATAGAGCACCTTCTAGGAGTCCAAAGTGAGACCCAAAACCAATGGGGAGTTTTGTTTATGTTCCTTCTTCCACCTTTGGGAGGACTCCCTAGTACAACCACCCATAATAAAAGTGCAGTTTTTCATGTTTAAAGTTTAGCCTTGCAGTTTGTTGACTGAGGATGTTTGGGCGTTACAGTACTCGACATCTGCAGGTGAACTCTTGACACAAGAAGTGGTGGATTGCCCGGTTCGTGTCTTTTTTTCCCCTGCACCGCACATCACCGAACGCATATCCAACACACACACAGAGAGCACCAGTTGAAGTCATGCTTTTGTGTGCTTCTATAGAATCCTTTCTGGCAAGCATCAAGCATAGAAATACAGCAGCGTCATGAGCCAGCCATCTCTAGTACATATCCATACATATCCGACAGATCAGCACCAGCCGCACCAGCAGCTTTTGGCTTTGAAGATCTAAGGTTACATGGCATCATCCTCCAGCTTGATGTGGGGCGTCCCGACTTGGCATGGTCATATGTTGATGTGGAAGGTGACACCGTGCAGTTGCGTGTGTAGAACCTCTCAGCGGTCTCCGCAGACAAAGGGCCCTTCAATGTGACATATGGTGAAGCATGATCATAGTATGTCATAGTCATTGTATGTCATTGTGCTAGGCAGACCTCAAGCACCAAAGGCTCTACCCCAACAGGCTATGCCTGTTAGGTCCATAGAAACCCATTCGTCCTTGTCATTTTGGTCAAACCACACCGTCGAGATGTTGCCTCACGGTCGCCTCACGGTCGCCCTCGCGTCACGTCTCGCTGACCTTCAGGATTTGCCCGAGCAGCTGAGCCGTGCCATCTCGCGGGAGGCCCGAGACGGTGTCGCCGACGCCGAAGGGTGTGAGGCTTTGCCAACGAAGACTCGACGGAGGCTTTACCAGCTTTTTGTCTTGGAAGACCTCAAGAGTTGTAGCATTCGTTTCGTTGGGTGTGAGGTCTTCCAAGAAACACGTTGAGGTATGTTGTGCTCCTTCTTGCATTCTGTGCACGTCAGTGAAGCTTGTAGTTTCCCTCCAAATCCTGGCTTGCTGGAGACGCTGTCTCAGAACTGCAAGGTTGCTGTCCGGCAAGAGCCAGCATGTGGGTTCGTTTCATGATTCAATGGTATTGTTGTGTATCCGCTGCAGGCTTTTCTGCGCGACCTGCAATGGTGTCCAAGAAATTTTTTGCACAGGCAGGAGCAGAATTGTGTTTGGCCCCACCCTAAAAATATGGTGTAGACGTGTGTGTGTGTGTGTGTCAAACCCTGTCCCTAAGGGCTTTCCATGTTTTCAAAGCAGGGGCGTACGGCTCGTCATACCCACCGTACGCAATGAAGCTACGGTATGACGAGGGAGGGGTGGACTGATCATCCACCTGTACCTGCTTCAACGGTTGAGTGCGCTGTTCCAATCCTTCTTTTTTGATTCCATGGTGGTTCATGCTACGTCCCCCAATCCCCCAAACCTTTTTTTTTTCCCCACCGCTGACTTGCCGCGCTTGTGTGTCAGATTGCAAGCATTGTTCAACCATACAGTTCTCGCCGACCTTTTCGCCTTGCCGTTCCCTCACCATTTTCGACCTGGGAATTGAGCTAACTGAAAACCAATGTCAAAGTGTGAACCGCTCAGCCGTCCCACTTGGGTGCTGGGCGTGATCCCCGTGACAGGGGCGCCGAAGCCATGCAGGAATTTCACTAACAGCCTTTTTGTTTCCACCACTCGTTGGACTCTCTTAGCCGACTTCTTTTCACCACTGGATTAACTGCATAAAAAGCCGTCGGGCTTACACGACATGCCACCACAGCCGCCGGGCTAAAAAACGGAATTCATTTCCACTTGAGGCCAGGCATGGTTTCCCAACCCCCCCCCTCCCCGCCGAGTTCTACTCCCTACCTAATTAGGGTAGCAGAGGGAAATGGTACTCGGCACACTTGTGTGTCGGTGCCTTTCCCTCAGTTGTCCCTTTTCTACGCTTCTCTACCCGGGCGGTTTAAGACTAAAGTCCCGCTCCCTAACTATTGCACTTAATTCATTTCTGCTAAGTAATCAGTAACTCTAGAGTGCTAAGTATTCAGACACACACATGTACACACACACACATGGACATACACCCCCTCCCTCCCCCCCCCCTTTCCTTCTT